GTAGGTGGGGTAGTACTTCTCGCGGATCAGCTCCTTGAGCCTATCCCATGTACATCTCGCCTTCTCGCCGGGACGCATGCTCCAGTAGGCATTCTACCAGAGCCGAGCATCACCGGTTAGCTGAAGCTGAGCGCAGATTACGCGATATCTGTCTGGACAATCCATGACCTCGAAAATAAACTCAAGGCCCTGAATCCACTCGTCCACGATACGGGGGTCTCCCTGCCCGAAAAATTTCTCAGGGTGATAGTCGCGAAACTGTGCGACCACCGTGGCTGAGGAAGAACTGGGTGATCGGGTTCCCTACGGGGCAGCATCTGAACATTGAAAAGTTCAAATTATTGAACACATGAAAAATATTCTGACTGATTTCTAAAGTACACAAATCTCTTGACGAGTTGCCAAAAATGGCCGGAAAATAGTGATATAAATCCTGAAGACGTCTAGAGTTATATCTGAGTACATTGAGTTCTAAAGTCTAATCCTGATTCGAGCATCTTAACTAAGTCCTGATTAATAATTTCTGAGCATGGACAATAGTAATATGTTTATAACTGAAAACATAAATCAGCACTTACCTGTAGTCGGCGAGGCGTGAGCGTGACGGTTCAGGGTTTTTTTGAAATTTCTGACTTATAAAACTTTTCAGAGACGCAGAAACGTGCTCTGATACCAATTGTAACACCCCGCCTTTTACTGAAATCAGAGTACGCATTTTTCGCAAATTTTCTGAATAAATTTAATAAAATATTTATTTTTGTGAAAACTGATTCGGAGTGCTACCGTGAAAATCTGACTGAAAAAAAACCGTTAATTTTAAGCTGATAATAAAACGGTTATATAATATTTTAACCGACTAGTGTCGGACCAAAAAGCTGAGTTTAAGTACTGAAAGTTTTAGCGGAAATGTAGCGTGGCCAAAACATAGTTTATACATAACAAAACAAATGTCCTGAACAACTCGTCAGCTCACTCCTTGTCCCCGACCCTGTGACCTGAAAAACATGAAATACGTGGGGCGTGAGCACTGAAACACTGTGCTCCGTGGAAACTCATACTAAAGTAAAACAGTGAAAATAATAACAATATCATGA